GGCGGGGCGCCCACGGCGCAGCCTCCCGCCTCTATATAAACACACGCATCGCCTCGCTTTGGACTCAAATTCACATTGAGAGAAGCTTTTAAAACCACCAGCCCTGAAATCCTGCCTCCTGCTTTTCCCCCTCTTTCATTCCTTTTGCCTTCCTTTCTTTTTTCCCCCTTTCTTCCCCCAGCAGCAACTCCAGAGCCGAGAGACCGCGTCCCAGGACGGATTGCCTTTTCTTAATTGATACAATAGCCCAGCTCGGGTTTTCACCTCCTCCCCCAACCCCACCCCGCCTCACCCCGCCCGCCCGCCGCCGCCGCCGCCGCCGCCGCCGCCCCAGCGCCCGCCCGGGGCTCTGTCGCCCGCCGCGTCCCGTCCCGGCTGCGGTCCGCCGGCTTCGCACCCGCGCTCCGGCCGCCGCGCTCGCCGCGCTGCCTCGCCCGCCGCGCCCGCCTCGGGGGTGCAGCGGCGGCTCTGCGGCTCGGGAGCGCCGCCCGGGGCAGCCCGGGGACGCTGGGCTCGGGCCTCTCCACTCGCCTCAGCCGGGGAACCTTCCCCCTCACCCCTAAAGTTTCTGGGTTCGTTGGAATTTTTGGATTCAGAATTTTTTTCCTTTTTTTTTTTTCCACCTAGGAGTTTGAGGGGGAAAACTTTTGACAAATCGATCGCACTTTCTCTCCGCTAGCTCTTACGAGAGAGGCTCCCGCTGGACAAAGTTTTCCAAAGTTTTCCGAGTGTGATGGTTGCGGGGAGAGCTAATCCACCAGCCTGATTCACCGCTTCATCTCACCACCCCTCGAGCATCCCCTAAGCCCGCTATAAGAGAACAAACAAACAAACAAGCAAACAAAGTTACACCCCGAGTCGCCTCGTGTCTCTTCTCTCTCTTCTTTTAGGCAAATTTTTCCCTCCCTCTCTCCGCTCCCCTCGCAGCCTCACTCCCCTTCCCTCGGCCCCTTCCTCCTTCTCCGTTTCGGCTGGAGGTGCCAGGACCCCCGGCCGCAGCCTCCCCTCCCCCGCCGCTCGCGTCCCTTCTCATCCGGCCCTCCCCTCCCCCGCCGCGGCCGGCACAGCCAATCCCCCGAGCGGCCGCCAACATGCTCTTTGAGGGCTTGGAGCTGGTGTCGGCGCTGGCCACCCTCGCCGCGTGCCTGGTGTCGGTGACGCTGCTGCTGGCCGTGTCGCAGCAGCTGTGGCAGCTGCGCTGGGCGGCCACCCGCGACAAGAGCTGCAAGCTGCCCATCCCCAAGGGCTCCATGGGCTTCCCGCTCATCGGAGAGACCGGCCACTGGCTGCTACAGGTAAGGGCGCGCTCGCTCCGCGGCTCTCCGGGGTCCGCTAGCGGCGAGCGCCGGGCCGTTGGAGCGGCGGACCGGCCAGGGGGCGCCGGGAGCCTGAAGGCACGGGTCCCCGCCCCGCCCCTTCCCTCCTCTTTGCGGGTGCAGCCCGGGCTTGCCCTGCCCGCCTGCGGCGTGGTTCGGAGCCCACAGGCGCCGGGTGCGCAAATTCTGGGGGCTGATAGGAGAAGTCCCCGGACTCGAGAGGGCTCCCAAGATTGACTTTCCCTGGTCGCGGACGACCCAGCAGGGGTGCGTGGACCGTCCGGGTGGCTCCCCGCGCGAGGCGAGCCGGAGGGGGTGTCGGGTCGTGAGCAGCTTTCGCCTCCCCTTCGCGCTCCAGGCCCCTGTCGCCGTCGGCTTCCGGGGCTTTGGAGGTGTCCCTGGGACCCGAAAACTGAGCCGGGGAGAGGAAGGAGCCAATGACAGCCAGAATTGCCCCTTTTAGACCCCAGCTGTGTTCCCGCCGCGTCGTCGGCTGCGCTAGGTACAACTGCCCTGGTCCACAATCCAACAAAGTGTGTGTATTTAGTGGTGGGGAAGGAAGGAGGTAACCCAAGGAAGGTGAGAAGCCCGAGACCCGAGGGTTCTTGGCTTTTAAGGAAAAGGGTCTATTTACTTATTGGGTGGGGACACTTGAGCAGGGGAGAGAAACTTGGGATTGGTGTATGAGATCCAAAGGGTTTGTGTGTGTGTGTGTGTGTGTGTGTGTGTGTGTGTGTGTGTGTTGCTAGACGCCACACAACCGCACACCGCTGGTGATAATGGGGGTGGGTGCGTCGAGGACCAGACCCAGGTAAGTAATGGGGAGATTAACCTGGAATTAACCTCGTCAAGTGCTAGACAAACGCTTTTGCCACTTGATATACACCAGGTGTTTTTCTTTTTGGGGTGGGGGGAGCCTCTGGTTAACCGCGGGAGGTGTGTTGTGTTCGGGTGAACACCCGTGTTTGTACGGAGGATGCTGATGGGAGTTAAGAGAAGGATGAACGTCCTGAAGACAACCCCGGCAAGGGTGAGGTGAGGCGATAGGCGACGGCAGAGACCTGTGCGTTCAGAAGTGCGAAAGCATGGCTTGAAATTAACAGACGCGTGCAGTCCGCGAGCGCACACACGTACACCCAGCCCGGCCCCGCCCCGCGCCAAGTGACAGCGGAGCGGGGGCGGGGAGGGGGGCGTGCGGATCCTCTGCGATGTGGTCTTCCCAAGTCCCAGAATCGGCCCATCTCTTTTGGGGATGCTCATGCAGTGGGGTGGGGTTCGCTTTAATCAGTAGGGCTACCCTCCGTAAAGAAATCCTCAGAGACTCTCCCATGCCACCACACTGAAAGAGTTAAATGCGGCGGTGGTCTAGGCTTTTGGCCGAGAATTTAGGAAATAAAGTAACTCACACGGGCATCAGCTCCCGTCTCCTTAGAGCCAATCTGCGGAATCCGTGGTCTGTCGCCTCTCCCCCCGCCCCTTTCCTGACCTTTCTCTGCTACCCGAAACGTCCCCCTGACCTTTTCTCCGAATCCCACAAGGGCCCCTGGGGCTCCGCGTGCAACCGGCACTGAAGTTTGGGAAAGGGAACCAGGCCTACGCCTCCCCTTCCATCAGCCCGCGGGGCCCTAGACTCCGCCGTGGGAGGGAAATGGGGGATGCCTGTAGAAGAGCGCTGAAGGGGTTAATGGGAGCCCTCTGAATCCCAGCTTTATTTTTTTGGAGTCATTTATCAGATTTTACGGGGGGACCTCCAAGGGCTCTCCGTTTCCACCGTGCGCCATCTAAACAGAGCCTAGGGCTAAAAATACAACATTTTTGTATAAATTGGACTCGCGGCCCGAGCGGCCGCCCCTATGAAAGTCCTCTTTGTGAAGACCGTGGAAACGGCGGACAAATAACTCTTTATTAATGCCACAAAAAACGCACTTTAATTATAGTTAGGCAGATCAGAGGCGGGAGGGGGACGGCGGGAGAGAGGCGGCGGCGACCTCGGAAAATTCACAACCCAACTTTTGTGTCGAAAGAAAAGAAAAACAGAGGAAAAGAAGAAGAGGAGAGACGGAAAGTCAGACGGAGCGAGGGAGAAGGGTATAGCAGACGGAGGGAGGGAATCCCGCTCCTCACCCCCCCTTGGTCGCACCTCCACCCTCGCCTAGATTTCTCTTAAAGGGGTAGATGCTGTCTAGAGCTGCGGCAGGGTGGGGAGGAGGCTCTCTCCGACCCCCCAACCTGCGAGTGGGGTGGCGTCCCCGCGGCCCAGCCCCCAGTCTTGGAGGCGCGGGCGATCTGGGCTCGCTCCCTGTCGCGCGCCGGGGCCGGAGACGCATGTGGAAAAGTGATTAGGCTCCGGGTTCTGCAGAGTCACTTTTCGGCAGTGCTGGGGTGTGTACACATTTAGCTGGAGAATACTTTTCCATAGAAGAAAGGAAAGTGAGGAGAGGGACCAACCCGGGAAAAGGGGATGCCGAGGTGTCCCTTCGGGGGTGCCTGACTCCGTAGGTCTGGAGTCCGCATTCGCACGTCGTTGGCCATCAGGCGAGAGTGCCGGACAGGTGGCGCCCCTCCCCTTCGCACCTGGTGCTGCCCTGGCGGGAGAAGGGTTAACACGGGGTGGGGTGGCGGGCGCCTACGTCAAAGGTGAGCCGGACGCCCCCGCCCCCGCCCCTCGGAGGTCCCCTCGGTTTCCGGTACCCGCGCGGAGGCCCGCTCAGCCAGCTTCTCTGCGCGCGGGGCCGGGGCCGGGGCCCGGGCCGGGGTCGGGGCTTAGCCGTCCTGGGCGCGCGCCGTCGCTGACGCCGCCGGGGATTCGGTTACCTGTGACGGCCGCCCCGCCCTGCCCCGCCCCGCGGGAAGCGCCTTCCTCCGAGCTCCCGTTCCAGACTCCAGGGCGGCGACGAAAATCCTTCTCAGTTATTCCCAGGGAAGATTGCATTAGGAAAATTGCGGCTCTCGGCCCCGTGACCCTACCTTGCAGATCCCTCAGAGGGCCGCCGGGTCCCTTCGCGGCCCACCCCTGAGAACGGAGGAAACCCCAACCCCCTTCTGTAGTGACTGCCTCCGGGCACAGGCCGCTCACCGCTATAAATAATCTTTGGCCTGCGGCCACCCCGCGGGGTCTCGCCAGCCCGTGGCCGGGAGCCTGGAAATATTTATTCCGAGAGGCTCCGGAACGTGAGGCGGGGGAGCGAGGGGGAGGGGAGCGGAGGCTCTAGCTTCGGGTCCAGGTCCCGCCGTCCGGGATACCTTTTTCCTCCCGCAAGTCATTACCAAAAAACACCCTCCCGACGGGGGCCCGGGGCCTCCCGCCTTCTTGCATTATTTATTATCCTCTAGGCCCTACTTCCCAGTTCTTGTGCATGCTATGAAAAATAAAACCTTCGTGCCTGTTTGTATGTGTGTGTTGGTGGGGGGGGGTTGGGGGGACAGGGGACTGGTGGCCCCGGGCGGGATCCTCCGTTCCTCCCCCACGAGCCCTCCAGGCTGGGCCTCCGGGACATCCCATCTGGCGATGTACGCCCTGAGAGAGGTCTCTTCCCTGGTTCCCGCAGGGTTCCGGCTTCCAGTCGTCGCGGAGGGAGAAGTACGGCAACGTGTTCAAAACGCACTTGCTGGGGCGGCCGCTGATCCGCGTGACAGGCGCAGAAAACGTGCGCAAGATCCTCATGGGCGAACACCACCTCGTGAGCACTGAGTGGCCACGCAGCACGCGCATGCTGCTGGGCCCGAACACGGTGGCCAACTCCATCGGCGACATCCACCGCAACAAGCGCAAGGTAAGAGCTCTCTCTGGGCGAAGGGCCCCGCAACCCTGCTCTGACCCTCTTCTTCCGTGCACCCGTCTCGGGTGTAAGGAGTTTGCGGAGCCCCGGGGACTCCCCCACCCGAATCTGCGCCTCCATTTGCACACCATGCTAGAGGATCCCACAGTTGCGTGCCTAGACGGCTGCGGTCCGAGATCCAGAGCCTGCAGGCCTCCCCCGGGTCTGCCCGTTTGTCGGTCGGCTGTGCCGTTCCCACTACCGGGGCCCATCGGTGGCTGTTGCGGGGAGGTGGTTTGGACAGAGCTCGAACACGCAGGGAGTAGGGCGTCCAACGCCCGTCCTCGCGTGCTCCACAGAACCGAGAAATAAAAGGGCAGATGGTGGCCCATGCTCCCCTTTTCGCCCGGTTTCCCTCTGGAATCCCGAGGACTGGAGACGGATCTTTGGAAAACCAAACCTAACCTTTTTGCCACTGGTTGCTTAAGGGCGACGCGGGCAGGCGCAGGGAGCGGAGCACCTTGTGCGCGACGGGAGGAAGGCCTGTCCTGGGGGGGGGGGGGGGGGGGGGGGATGAAATTTGGGCCACGGCCGCACAGGTCTGGATGGTGGAGGAAGGCGAAGGGTGGGAGAGCAGCGGCAGCGCTGCGAGGGATCAAAGCGCACCTCCCCCCTCCCATAAAGAGGAAGAGAAAGTGGGTGTTTATCCTGTGGATTTCCCGAGCGCCTGGAAGAGGCGCGGAGGAGGAGGCGAGCCAGCGCGCACGGAGCGAGCCGAGCCTCCCCGCCCCCTCACAGGGCCGCGCCGCCGCCGCGGCGGCACCGAGCGCGGGCGGCACGTGCTGTTTGAACTGCAGTAACCCGAAAGCTGAGCCGCGGGCGGGCGGGGCGGCGGCCCGCCGGCTTAAAGCGGGCAGGGACGGGGCGCTGCACGGCCTCCCCTCCCTCCCTCTTTTCCATTGGGTCAGAGGACTCATCCAGGTTTGAAACCTTAAGGAGAGAGAGAGGCAGCCTCTGATCTTCCAGGAGCAGTGGCAGAGTCTGGGAGCGGGGCGGGGTGGGGGGGGGGTGAGCCGCCCCCTCCACCAGAAGTCTAAGTGAAGAGGTCTTTGTGAACGTAGGAATTAATCTTGTAGTATTTGATGTCTTTTGAACTGCCTGCGAAGAGTAGTTTTCCATAGCAGACAAAAGGAGGCAAAATCTGTTGGAGGAGACAACCCCCCTCCCCTTAAAGCACGGATTGCAGGGACTGGAAAGGGGCTTCTAGGGTAGTCTTCCTCCATGTGCCTCACTAGAGCAGGAAGCAGCTGACAGGCCCAGAGGACAGAGGGGAAGTGGCTGGGAGGGGGCTATGGGCTCAGCAACGGGGGCTTATAACATGTGCTGGACACTATTTTTTCTTAGTCTTTAGGACTCCACCCAAAGCCTGTTCCGAAGAGTGAGGAGACAGCCTGAGCCAGAAACCCAGCTCCAAGGACTATGTCTGCTTCCTCATTTTATCTTTATAGAGGCTTTGACAAGAAAACAGTCATTGTCCCCTTCTCAGAGAAGGGGACACTGAGGCTTGGAGCGTTTGAGAGACTTGAACCAGGTCAGGAAGCAAAGAAAGGGCAGGACAGGGCATGCAACACAGGCATCCATGGGAAGAGTTGTTTCTGGGCCACCAAGCAGAGCCTTATACTTAGTCCTGCCCACCTAGGCTTGCCAGAGCTGGCGGTGGGGGTGGGGAGGAGGTGCTGGGAGGAACAGGAAGGCTGGATCAGGACCTGCTGTTGCCTTGTGGTTCTACCCGCCCTGTGCCTGACTTGACTGTGGGCCTCCAGGTGGGGAGGGCCCACCTGGAAAGCCCCAAGGTTTTGGCCCACATTGTCCGTTTGGGAGGAGGGAAGGAGACCACACAGAGGATACTGCCGGGGGAATGCGCCGGGAGAGATGGGGACGGGCAGGGGTGGGGGCCGAAACTGAGAGCCGCGGAAGAGTCATCGATGGTCTCCCTCTCTGGGGCACCCTATCTTCTGGCTTCTGGGGGATAAGAGGTGGCCAGAAAGCAGTTCATCCTGAAAGAGGCTTGGGAGCCCAGTGCAGGGGCCCTCTCTTTGGGTGTACTAGTGTGTGCTTGCCATGTGGCATGTGTCTGGAGCCTGTGGGAAAGGGGTGCACAAAAGGGCCCTTCCCCCCAAATCTCTCTAATTCATGTTCCATCAGCTTGGGTTTACTGAACCAAATTGAAGGCTTTGGGTGAGGCAGAGCCAGAAGTGGGACATGGTCGACCTTGCCTCAAGAAGTAGAGTCTAGCTGGAGGCATGAGAAGAGAATATTCAGGGGCTTGTTTTGGTCCTGGAGGAAATGGCCAGTCTGCTGGACCCCAGTGCCCAGTGGACCCAGCCTGGCCAGGGTCGGGGGTGTGCCACGCACACTGCTTTATCCAGTGCACACTGCAGTCAGGGACCTGGCTGGTGAGCAGGCTGCTGGGCCAGGCCCGGGCCTGGTTAGGATGTACTCACAGGAAGTAAGGCCCAGGTGTGCTGAGGCCTGGCTGGCGGGAGAAGTAGGAGCGTCACTGTTTCCACTGGGGCTGGTGGCCCGCCCCTTCTCTGGGAGGTCTGACCAGATGTGCTGGGAAGGGGCTCCTTACAGCCATCGCTGAACTCCAGGTGTTTGCCCCTCCTGTCCTGGTGGTCTAGGGCCAAGGTGGCTTGAGTTGCCAGGGAGAAAATCCAGAAAGTCTTGCCCGGTCTAACAGAATCCTCTCGGGAAGCCAGGCCCGTGTCCCTATAGCTACTACCTCAGACTCTGTGCCTTCTCTTTCGTAACCTTCCCTCCCCCAGGGGCCTGGGGTGTCTCTGATTAATGGGGGAGGGATGTCATCCTTCTTTGTGTGTGGGGAGGCTGGGGTATTGCCCTAGAAAGAGTGTGGTAGGGAAGAGTGGGGGGAGGTTGTCAGAGACACAGAGGAGGAGTCGGGGGGGGTAGTTCTGGAAGCTCCAGCGCACAGTCCCACACCCCAGAATCAGGCATTTCCTCTTTTCCTTTGGAGATAGGGAGGACCAGCAGCTTCAGGGGGCCTCAGACAGTAGCCCTCCCAAAACTTGGAGAGCATCCCGGAGGATGCACTTAGTCCTGGATTCCTGGTGTCCTCGAGCCTCCAGGCATGGCTCTCTTGTCCTTCCAACCCAGGCTCCTGGCTACAGGGACTTCTGTACCTAAGGCAAAGGTGGGGGAACAGCTCCCCAGGCTTTGGAGGTAGGATGAAGAAGCCCTGTCTACCTACATACCACCCCTCACGGACCTGGCCTTCGGGCCCTGTCCTGGGTAGGAGTGGAGGGCAGGCTCAGGCTCACCGCGCTTCTCTCAGAAACCCTGTCCATCCTCCAGTTTGTGTTGGGGTACAGAGTCTAGGAAGTGCTTCAGCAGGAGGGCAGAGCCAGGAGGGTTTGGGGGTCTTCAGGGAGGCCAACCCAGACCGGCTCTTGATGGCCTTGGGACCAGTGCATAGCCTCTGGCTGCAAAGTCTCCCCCGGCTCAGCTCAGGGCAGCAGTTCTCACCTGCGTAGGAAGGTGGGTGGCCCAGCCAGGCAGCCCTGCTCCTGAGAGCTCTGTCCCAGCTCCCTGGCATAGATAGGCACACAGCCTTTGTTCTGCCAGCCCAAGAAGTCCTTCACTCAAAAGTTACTGTAGCACCAGCCAGTGGGTGCAGGGGCCGCTGAGGGGGTGGGAGGCAGGAGCGGATCTCTCTGAAGGTCAGTGTGGGAGGGAGCCCACAGCCAGCCAGCCGCCAGAGCGCCTGAGAGTGGGTGCCTCCCTCCACTCGCCCTGTGCCAGGCAGTGGGTGGGGGTCTGGCCGGGCCTAGGGTCGGTCTCCTCCCTTTTCCCTCCTTTCTCTGTCCTCCCAGGGCAGGGAGGGGTCCAAGGCTGTGATGCTGATGCATCTGCTCACTCTTCCAGCCTTGAGAGACAATTCTGGCCTTGACAGAGAGTGAGCAGGCTTGGCTGGGGTCTGCTCTGGCCCTGAGCCCCCTGTGCCACCATTGTATCCATTCAGGCTGCCAGGCTGAAGGGCCGGGGTTGGGGGTGTGCCTCCAGGGGTGGGACATGCTACAGCAGGGACAGAGTAGCCAGAACAGCTGGCCTTCTCCTGGGAAGAAACTTGGCCATAAAGAAGGGTCCCCTTAGGGTTCTTAGATAAATTCAGAGCCCCCAGGACGGGTAGAAGGTGGATCAGTGGGGCTTGGAGTGGTGGGAGTTGGGGTTCGGGGCCATTGGTGGGTATGGCCAGTCATGGCCTGGACTGCGACATCGGGAGGGCCCTTCCCCCCTTGGACCTCCATTTTCTGAGGGGGTTTTACTGTGGCTGGAAGAGGGATGAGTGTCTGGGCAGACCTAACCTTTCAGATTCTGGGGCTCAGCAGGTATCTGCCAGCGCGGCCCTCCCTCCCCGACCACGTGCTTTTGTCCTGGGTGGAAGAGTTAGGGGAGACAGAGCTAGAGTAAAGTGGGGGACAGGCGCTCTGTTGCTGTAGGTGCCAGGAAGCCAGAAGCAGGCCAGCCCTTCCCAGCCAGAGTGGCTGAGTGGGGATTGGCTTGGGAGGCAGCCCGGGTGAAGCCAGGGCCTGGTGGAAATGGCAGGCATCTGGGAAGATGACGTCCTCTCTTGCCCTCCGCCTTCCTTGAGTATAAAGTACACACCTTGGCGTCACCCGTGGCCCCGGCGCTGCCTGCGCTCTGTTGCCCTTTCCACTCGGCAGGCCGGGGCTCCGGTGGCTTGGCTCAGCGGGTAGCCTGCCCCGGCCCCCGCCCTCCCGGGCAGCCGCTTCCATTCCTCCCGGTCTGAGTCACTGGCCCAAGCAGTAGGTTCCCTCCTGCTCTTCCCGCTCCCGAGGCTGCCTGTCCAGAGGCTGTCTGTCCATCTGCCCATCCATAGGCACCAGCTGCGGAGGGGGAGGGTATCTGGCCAAGCGGGTCAGCACGCAGGGCTCCGGGGCTCCAGCGAGCCGCTCTCCTCCCAAGGGCGCCGTGTGAGAGGCAGGAGGGGGAAGCCTTTGTAGAAACAGTTATGGAGAATTTGAGCCTTGACAAGCCCCCTGGTGCCCCACCGCCTCCCACTCAGGGTTGAGAGAGAACCAGGGATGTGGGCCCTTGTGCCAGGCGCTTTGCTGGAGCACCCCATGGGGGTGATGGAGGGTTTCCAAGCACAGCCTTCAAGGCGGGAGGCCAGCCCGCCTGCCTGTGTGCCTGGGAGTTCCCAGTCCGCCGGTGACGCTCTGCCTTCTCTCTCCGGGCACCAGCCCTGGTGGGAAGTCCATACCTGCTGCCCCCTCTGCAGAGCTTTGCCTGGGCCAGAGCTGGTTCCCTATGACCTTTGTCCAACATTCTTGGCTCACTTTTGGGAATTCCTAGGGAAGCCCCAGAGGGAGACAAAGAAGCCCTGGCTCCTATTACAACTGTGGTCAGGGCAGACAGCTCTGGGGGCTGGGAACCCTTCCTCTCTTCACACTGAGCGGCTCTGCTGGGCACTTGCCCATGTGCCCGAGTCCTGACCCCGCCTGCTCGCCCGACGTGGCCCAGGCCTCCCTCTGCCCTGGCCAGCACCTCCGCCTCCTCCTGGCCTTTGTGGTGGGTGGTGGTTTCTGGGCTGCCTTGGCGGTGGGAAGTGCTCTCGTTGTTAATCCTGGGCACCAACCCAGGGATGAGGACCTGGAGTTTTCCTGGTGCCTGGGAGGCCCTGATGACGGGGGAACAGCTGGGCTGGAAGCAGGGGCACGGCCTGGGTGAACTCTGAGCAAAGTCCCTTGACTCGGAGTGCTTGCCACCTGACCATATGCTTCTCATATGGTCATTTTCTCTGCTTCAGGGGTCTCTGAGAGGAATCATGGGTAGGACAGCTAGGTGAAAGGGACCCAAGAACGTCCAGTTAGTCCCCAGAAACCAGTGGGGAAGCTGAGCCCCAGAGAGGACAGTGACCTGCTGGCTGCCACTGGTGAGTCAGGGGCTGGGTCAAGATAAGAGCCTTGGACCTTTTCAGAAGCCCCAGCCCAGAGGCCTGCAGTGCAAGGTGGCAGAGAGCTTCCTGGGGTCATTCCAGCTCCTTCTCAGGACCCCTGACTGCCTAGAGGCGACGCGTGGATCCCCCCACCATTGGAGCCCATCTGCTCAGTCCCAGGTTCCCCTTGGTCCTCCTGCCCTCCTTGGACCCCAAGACTTGAGAAGGAGCAATTCAGCTGGCCATCACTAGAGGGCGCAGGGAATGTAACCTTTGGGGCAGGGCAGGGCAGGGCCTGTGGGTGGGTCATGTCTGGCCCCTCCACAGAGTGCAGTGGGGCTCCTCAGAGACCCTCTGTTGGTAACCCTGGGATGCCCCTCCTGAGCCACTGTAGCCTGCATAGGGTGTATGCGTGGGGGGGGGGGGGCTGGTAGGCCCCAGGGGACTCACACATTGCCAGATTCTGGGCTCTTTTGAAGGGACGGCATCTACTTTGGGATACCTAGATATTGGTGGTTATGTGCTCTGTACCCTGAAAGGAGCCACAGAGGTCACCTCATTCAACCTCACCATTTCCTAGGTGAGGAAGCTGAGGCTGGAGGGCGTGACTTGGCCATGGTGGCACAGTAAGTTGGTGCATGAACCGGGGTTAAAACTCAGGTCTCTGGGCACCCAGCCTGCCATTTCCCACCGCCCCGCTGCCCTTTAGGGCCTAGCTGGCTGTGACTTTGACCAGTCTTGGTCTGAGTGGCCTCCACCCCATTGCCCCCTCCACATGCCCACCTCTGGGCTTGGGTCTCCTGTTTGCGGGAGGTGGGGGGGACCCTGGCCACACCTTGCCCCATGCCCTCCCTGACAGTACTCCTCAGTCGGCCCTGGGCTGATTGGCTCTAGGCCAGGTGTGGCCTCCCTATCTCTGCCCGCCCCTACCTCCAGTCTCCCCATCGAGGCCTGGGAGCCACAGAGTATCTTTCTGCCTCCCTGATGAACACCTTACTGTTTTGTAAGGGCCCTTGGTTGGCCAGCATTGGGCTCTGGGGACAGGGCCCCATTCCCACCTCATTAGACTCTGATCAGGAGCTGAACTTGGAATCCTAAGGATATCAGGGTGGGTTGGGGGTGGGGCGCTGAGGCAGAGAGCACTGCCTGTATCCATAACCCCCTGAAGGGAGGGGGCAGCTGAAGTCTCCTTTGGAAGTTCCTGGGACCCCCACAGCTGAGTAAGGTGTGAGTGACCCATTCAGACCTGGGCTGCCCTTGGCCACTTCCCATCCTTCTACGTTTCAGCTGTCCCTTAATAGCAGGAGCAGCTCCAAACAGTGCTGGCTTCTCTGCCCCTCACTGGCCTCCTTCCCTCCCTCCGTCTGCCCACCGGGAATTTGGGAATGAAAGTGCTATTGTGAATGCCTGGCTGGGCCACTGAAGGGCCAGCACTGTTATTTCTGCAAACCAGCCCTCCCATTAGCCATGCAGGGCTGAGGCCAGGAAAATGTTACCTTTTCCTCCTCGAGCTGACTGCAGGGGAAATTCTCACATTTACAGTTTGTGCGGTGGTTGTGTTTGGGGACAGGAGGGGAGGGTGAGCGCGTGTGTGTGGTTTGCGGGGGGGGGGCCAGGGTAGGGGAGCCGGAGGAGTATGCGTCTCCTTCCTCTGTGCTGTCTCTCCCCTCTCTGCCTTCCCAGTGACCTTTCCCTCGGTGTTGGTGGGGGTGCCCCCCTTCTGCTCCGGACCCTGGGGGGGAATAGAGGATGTTGGTTGAGTGAGTTGCAAAGGTATCAGTAAATAAATTCACATCTTCCCCTCTCCTGTGGGCCATGGGCAGCAGCATGAAACTGCGTGCTGGGCCATTTGGGTAGGGAGGGGGCAGGAGGGGTTACTGAGGAAGCAGGAGGATGGAAAGCAAGAGAAGGTGGAAATAGGGACTCCCTGGCTACTTAAAATGGACCAGGGAGATGCAAGGAATTAAAAGGGCTTCCGTTGGGCATTGTGATCTTTCAGGGCATTGTGATCCTTTGGGGGTGGAAAATCTTGCCCCCATCCCCCCGCCTCCAGCCTCAGCCACATTGAAGACATTTTGATGGCATAGCTATTAACAGATTCCTTAGGATTTCCACCCATTAGGTGTTTCCCAGGGACTGAGAGAAATTTGGTAGTAGGGGGAGGAGGGTCTCAGGAAGTCCTGCTTGCTGTCTAGCCTCAGACTCTCTTGTTCTTCCATCAGTGGAGACGAGCCACCTACTGCTTTCTACCTCTTCCTTGTCCAGTGCACGCATCTGTGTTCCACTCTTCCCGGGCACTTCTGCCTGGGAATTTGGGAATGGGTCCCTGCAGTGGAGGGGCCAGCTCCTGTGTAGACCTCCTAGCAGCTGGACTGCCTAGTCCCCGGGGCTTTGCCACTGTGTGGAGCTCATGCTTTCCTGGGGGTCAGCGAAGGAGAGGACAGCTCAGATCTCCCATGAGTGACATGGAAGGTTCCGACTTGGAACAAAAGTGCCGGTGAACTGTGCTTTACTCCTGTCCTTCCCCTGCCTCTGCCCCAAGGCACAGGCAGTAGGAGTGGCTGTGGGGTAGGGGCGCCATCGAGGGTTTGTGTCTGGAGGTGGAAAGTGGGGCTTGGTTGGAGTGAGGACCTGGCGTCTTTGTGACCGCAGCCCTGGGTGCGTGCTGCGGTGGGGCCCTATGGGAGCTGTGTGGGCAGGCGCAAGCCCCTCCGGCCAACTGCCCCCTGCCCTCCAGGTCTTCTCCAAGATCTTCAGTCACGAGGCCCTGCAGAGCTACCTGCCCAAGATCCAGCTGGTGATCCAGGACACACTTCGTGCCTGGAGCAGCCACCCCGAGGCCATCAACGTGTACCAGGAGACGCAGAAGCTCACCTTCCGCATGGCCATCCGTGTGCTTCTGGGCTTCAGCATCCCTGAAGAGGACCTTGGCCACCTCTTCGAAGTCTACCAGCAGTTTGTGGAGAACGTCTTCTCCCTGCCCGTCGACTTGCCTTTCAGCGGTTACCGGCGGGTGAGCACCCAGGGCCTGGGAGGAGAGGAGATGGGCATCCACGAGCCCACTTTGTGTGGGAGAGGCTGACTGACCACTCAGTCACTCATGGGTCACACAGACAGAGGGGAGGTGTCAGCAGAAGGGTGAGGGTGGAGCCTTCACCCACTGGTCTCAGCTGCTTAGATGGGAAGTTCTCAGAGGAGTCCCTTCCCTGCCCCTCCCGGCCTTGGAAGGGGGCTTTTGGTGAGCCTACCCTTCCTCTTTGGTGACTAGATGGCCCCCTTCTCCCTCCAGGGCATTCAGGCACGGCAGATCTTGCAGAAGGGCCTGGAAAAGGCGATCCGGGAGAAGCTACAGTGCACCCAGGGCAAGGACTACTCGGACGCACTGGACATCCTCATTGAGAGCAGCAAGGAGCATGGCAAGGAGATGACCATGCAGGAGCTGAAGGTGGGGGCAGCCTCCCCAGTGGGTGGTATGAGCACCCCAGGTTCTTTTTCTGCCCATCCTGCTCCACTCCCCCAGGGACTGTCTTTGAGTGGCTGTGGTGGCCACCGCTGCCTGGGGCTGGGGGACTCAACCAGAAAAGAGGCTGTGTCCCGGCCTGCTTAGTGTGGGTGGTGTGATGGGGAGGATGCGAAACAGCCACTATGGGTGGGGCTGCCCAGTCCTGGGAGTGAGTGGGTCCCCACAGCAGCTGGGCTCCACACTCTCCATCCCACCCACCATCTCTTCTACCGTTTAGGTAAAGATGCCAAAATTTGGCCTCTAGAAACCTCGGGATAGACTCGGTGTCAGTGGCTTTGTGGGCCCTCTCACCCCCTTCCACCCCCAATATTCACCATTTCGGTGCATTTCATGGTCCCCGGAAGGGCAGCCTCAGCCCTTGGGGAAGAGCAGGGAGATTTAGACCTAACTCTGGTCTCCTCCACCCCCACCAGCCTATTAAAGCTGGTGGCACTTCGTACTCTCCCCTCGCCTGCAGCCACTAGTTAAGCCCAGCTGGGCTGCCAGCGCCCGGACTGTCCACACTGGGCCCCAAGAAGGACTTCCTGCCCACCCCTTTGTAGGGTGGGTATACCACCTGAGGAGGGATTCATTAACTCATCCTTGCCGAGACTCTGCCACCCCGCGTGCCTGCCAGGTGCCTGCGGAGGCTGACCGCAGACTTCTCCATCCCCCCGTCTGCGCTTACCCCTCGTCTGACTCCGGCTTTCCCCCTGCTGAGCCAGTAGGAGCTCCAATGGCCTTCCCCTTTCACAAGAAGTATTGGGTGCTGCCATGGCAAGTCAGGGACCCAGGTTCCTTCCTTCTCTTCTCTGGGCCTTCATTTGTAAAAATACAGGCTTCAGAATGAGATGACCTGCTGGGATGTTTCCCTGGGGCTCCCACTGTCCAGGTGTCTTGCTCTCCTGAGAACCCCGGCGGGGTCTGAGTCTTCTGGGGACCCCCTCTTCTCAGCCTTCTCGCTGCCATCCCAGCACAGGTCCCCATGGCTGTGGGCCCAGGTGGCCTCCCCAACCCCATCCGTACTCTTGACCTCCCACCAGATGTCCTGGGGATGGAGGAAGGGGCTGGGGCTGCCAGTTGGAAAGCCCAGGGGGCAGACCCACCCTCCTCACCCGCACAGGGCCTGGCTCCTTGGGATTTGTTCTTTTCTTTCTGGGAGCTCACTGCACTGATGAGGCCTGCTCCGGCTGGCTCTGGAATCTGGCAGTGAGTGAGAAGCAGCCCTACCCCAAGGGACTTCCAGGCTAGTGCCTCTGTCCTGGGCTGTGGCAGCTACTTTCCCTGCCCAGCCGGGGGACCGGCCCCGTGACCTGTGTCCATCGTGGCCCGAAGGCCACAGCAACGTGAGGCCCAGAGGCAGGGCCCAGCTAGATGACCTTGGGGCACAGGGTAGGGGTGGGGACACTGGCGAGGGGGGAAGCTGAACCTGGATCCCCTCTTGCCGCTGCAGGACGGGACCCTGGAGCTGATCTTCGCAGCCTACGCCACCACGGCCAGCGCCAGCACGTCGCTCATCATGCAGCTGCTGAAGCACCCCGCCGTGCTGGAGAAGCTGCGCGAGGAGCTGCGGGCCCAGGGCATCCTGCACAGCGGCGGCTGCCCTTGCGAGGGCACGCTGCGCCTCGACACTCTCAGCGGGCTCCACTACCTGGACTGTGTCATCAAGGAGGTCATGCGCCTTTTCACACCCATTTCTGGTGGCTACCGTACCGTGCTGCAGACCTTCGAGCTCGATGTGAGGCTGGGCCCAGCGGGGCTGGGGCTTCGGGGACCTGTGGGAACGCCGCCTTGGGGGTGGGCACTGGCCGATGGGAAGGACCGGCCTTCCTGTGGGGTGCCTCTGTCAGATGGGGGAGACCCTGCCCCAAATGCTGGGTCAGATGAAGCCCACTGGGCTGTCATGGGAAGTTGCCTGTGGACATCTGTAAACAAGAGATGGGACTAACACGCTGCGGGGGGATGCTGGCCAGGACTGGGGGACCACAGCCAGAGGGAGGGTGCTCTCTAGAAACATCTGGGCTGGGGGGCTGGCGGACAGGAAGTCCTTGGCCCTCTCAGACCTCCTCTGGCTCTCACCTCACCACCTTACTCTACCCCTGCCCCCCATCTTGCCTCCAGGGTTTCCAGATCCCCAAAGGCTGGAGTGTCATGTACAGCATCCGGGACACCCATGACACGGCACCCGTGTTCAAGGACGTGAACGTGTTCGATCCGGACCGCTTTGGTCAGGCCCGGAGTGAAGACAAGGATGGCCGCTTCCATTACCTCCCGTTCGGAGGCGGAGTCCGCACCTGCCTGGGCAAGCATCTGGCCAAGCTGTTCCTGAAGGTTCTGGCAGTAGAGCTGGCCAGCACGAGCCGCTTTGAGCTGGCCACCCGGACCTTCCCCCGCATCACCTTGGTCCCTGTCCTGCACCCCGTGGATGGCCTCAGTGTCAAGTTCTTTGGCCTGGACTCTAACCAGAACAAGATCCTGCCAGAGACGGAGGCCATGCTGAGTGCCACAGTCTAACTGCGCCTAGCCTGTACCCCCACCTCAGCCCAGCCAGGCCTGGGGGTGGGTGGTGGTGGTGGGAGGCACCAGAAGGGTCGAAACCTGTGTGTGGGAGGGGGCGAGAACCTGGGGAAGGGGGAGCGGCCCCCCCATACCTTGCCCTCCCCTGTTGCCCCCACCCCTGCAAATCCTGCCCAAAACCAGAAAGGCCCCATCCTTCCGGGGCGGGGGGAGGGAAGGACCCTTTTCCTGGTTCCTACTTCTGTCCCAGTCTCTCCAGTGCCCACCGGCTTAGCTCCTGGGAAGAGGCAGGGCGGGGCGCTCCGCATGCCCACTACAGTGTTAAATGTCAGTGGCTCAGCTGCAGCATTTGCTTGTGATGTTCCGAACTGGCCCCACTTCTCCATTCCTTTTGGACCCTTTTAGTCTGAGGGCAGGTGGTTGACGTGGGGGAAGGAGGAAAAGAGGGGCCCCCTTTGGCTCTCTCTTCAGCACCGCCCCCCCCCCCACCGCTTTGATTCACACGGGTGGAGTGCCCCTCCTTATGTGGCCATCGAAGAACAGCATCCTGGGTAATAGAACACAAGTTCCCCCTTGATGGGGTGGGGGGGTTGCAAGCAGCCTGAAGGGGCCCCACCCCTTTGCCAGTTTGGACATTTGAAATTACCTATTGCTGCTACTTTTTCTCTCTTCTGACCTTGGGGCAAAGGAGCCCCAGGCCCTGTCCTCCCAGCACCCTCCCTGGTGGCCCTGGGCATGCGCACTGACATCCCCACCTTCCCACCAGGCAGCCTTGAGCCCATCCTGCTCCCCTGTTACACACATGCCCAAGTCCTTTGGCTCATGGGCTGTACCCCTGCACCCCCACCCCCTCCCACACCCCCCCATATTTATTCACTGATATAACCGAATCTTGGCGTTCTTGGGGACTGGAAAAGCCTCTCGTCTGTCCCCTAGTCTCTGTCCCAGCTGTCCAGGGCAGGACTTCTGCGAATGACGCTGTCCCCCACCCACTACCCCTAGGCTCCAGACCCCCTGTGGGCTCATCCTCAGAGCCTCACTCCCCGGGTGAAGTCCTGTGCCTCTGCCTTTGCCCCCGGTGGAGATGGGGAAATGGCCCACTGCCTCCCTCCCTGCTCTGTCAAAAGCCCTGATCATGTGAGGATTTAGAGGCTGCCGTAAGCTCCTGCTTGGCCACTGTTCACCCCGGTACCCCCCCACTCCTGCTAGTGAGCATGGGGAAGTATACGGGTTCTTTCTTCTGATGGGGAGCAAGGGCCTCTGCCTTCCCTCCCTTGACCTTCACCCTTGGCCCTTTGCCCTTGGAAAGATGTCCTTGAAGTCCTTCCCACCTCTATGCCACTGTCTGCTTAGCCCAGCTCAGGGGTGTGGGCACAAGATGAAAACAAGGGGAGGTGAGCATAGGAGGCAGCCCTTCGGCTGCGCTGACTCGGGTCCTCTGCTGTGGTCTCGAGGCAGCTGCCAGGGGGGCTGCAGAGCTGAGGAGGAGGGTATGTGTGATTTGTCAGAAGTAATTTGGTGGAAAACTGGCCGGTCAGGGGCTGACTGGGGGAAAGAAGAGTAGCTCCTGCCACTGGCATTTTGAGTGTTGGCAATTTGGGATGCCTCCTGGGGATGACTTAGGGGTCTTTGGTGAGTCTCTAAGTGATTTTGTCTGTTTTCAGATTTTTCTTTGCTTTCTCTGTTTCTCTATTGGCTTTTGATATTATAAAAGAAATGAATCCTCTTCACAAGAAAACCAAAAACACACAGAAGAGTGCAGGATACCGATCTCTCCAGTCCTTCTCCATAGCAGTGACCACCGTGGGCAGCTGCATGGCCCCCTCCGTGGTGCTCAGTGGGAGGACCACAGCCCCCCACTCACACCCCCACGTGGTAGACTTTAGGGGAATGGGCTCGTGCCTGGCGACTGCTCTGTAACCCCTGTTCTCAAGTGTTTCGTTTGGTTCCTACTTTTCCACTACTAAAGAATCCGTGCAGAACAGACATCATTGGCAAAAAGACATTTTTAAAAAAATTAGCAAAACCTCTCAATCCACCCTGCACAACACACACACACACACACACACACACACACACACACACATTCTGAAAAACAGGCAAACATGTGTAAAGACTCATCAAAGCTTGCAAAAGAGCTGCTTGGTGCACCAGAATTTGTTACCCATAATAAAAGCCCAGTGTCTGGAAGGTTCATGCTCCTTCAAGCTGCCCCAGCCTGCCCTAAATCAATCGGTGCTACTCCAGACAAAAAGCCCACCAGGCCTGGCCCTGGTGGGGGGAGAGGGGAGGCTGGCAGGCTCTGGGAGGCACCTTCTGTTGGGGTGACCAGCCTGGGAGGGGCCGAGGGAAAGGCTGAGGGGGTCCCTGTGAGGAGGAAGGAAGGATTATTTGCCCCGCTGGGTCTCAAAGGCAACAAGAAGAGAACTGAAAGATGCTCTTGACTCTTGACTGGCTGACAGGAGGGCTCCAGTGTTGAAATGTGGCCGTCTCTTGTCTCTGTCCACCCGTGCCTGCGTGTCTGTGTGCAGGTCTGTACTGGTAGTGCTAGATGGGTTCATTTCCTCACGTACCATTCCTAACTATTGTAACTTGACACTAAAAAGACAAAAACCCCACAACACTCTTCCTGCCACGGGCTTGCAGATTGAAGCACTTTCGATGTTGGGCGCTGGCATTTGTGATCCGGGCACCATTCTGACCTTGCCCAGATCACTATAATATTATTTTATACACAAAACTTTTTTTTCATAAATGTTATAATTTTGTGTCTGTCTTTATAAACTATTATAAGTACTATTTTTGTTATAATTCAAAATAGATATTTAGTATAAAGTTTTTGCTGTTAAATATTTGTTATTTAGTAAAATATGAATTTTTTTCTCTATTGTAAACATGGTTCAAAATATTAATATGTTTTTATCACAGTTGTTTTAATATTGAAAAAACACTTGTGTGTTTTGTTTTGATATGAAACTGGTGCCGTGTGAGTGTTCTGGCTGTCATGTGGTTTTAATCTGTATATAATATTCCATGTTGCATATTAAAAAAAATGAATGTTGTGCATTTTGTGATTTTGGAAATACTCAACCTGGCTCTTTTATAGGCTTCCATAATAAACCGTGGGGACTCACCCTTGTCTGGCTGTCTGGTTTCTGTCCTGTGTGCATCACTGTAAGGGGCCTCCTGGCCACCCACATTCCCTTCCGCAATGGCCACCTGTCAGGGGGGAAATACTTCCCCACAAGGTTTGTCCTATGAGACACGCCCACCATTCCTTGTGCGTAGACGCAGAGAAGTCCGTGGCAGTTACTGCGAGTAGTAGGTTCACCTGGGTGAGTGGGAGGCGGGGTGTAACTGTCTGGCCACTGGTCCCTGAGACCTGTTGGGGGGTGGGGCAGCTGGGAGCCGGCTCTGGTGGCCCAGGGCGGCCATGACTAGCTAGGCCAGGCGGCTTAGTGCTGGACGAGGCGACCCAGTGCTGAGGGCCTCTCCTCAGAGTCCATCTTGTTTACTTGAGCGAGGACACTGATGTCCACAGTCACGTGGCAAATTGGGGAGCAGAGTCCAGTTCTCCTGACTTCTAGCCTCGTGCCCCATGAGGCACTTCTTAAAACCTATTACATGGGTGTTGCAGGAGCAGATAGGTTCCCCGAGCAAATAAGTTTGGGGAAAGGCTTAAGTAGAGCTGGACAGCTTCCTTCACCGCAGGACTTCCCAGGACCTTGAGCCTGAGGATGGGAGCACCCGGGGGCTGCACGGCATAGACACAGCTCGTGGAGCTCCCCAAGCCCATTTGATGACCGAACCCATGTCCCCTTTCCTGTTTATCACACTGTGAAAAGGTGTTCTGCAGCCTGGCTCACAGAGGCCAGAGGTGAGGCCAGCAAAGGGCATGACATCCGGTGCAGGGACAAGGACCATCCAGGGTGGTTTCTAGGACTGAGGGACCAGGGGTGCGGAGAGAGGGCCTCACAGTGCCCAGGCTGGTCCCGTCCTTGGCAGTGCCCCCAGTCCCCTCCCCACAGCCTGGGGAGGGACCCCCTCCTTCCCAGTTGGCCTGAGAAAGGTTTTTTGTTTTTGTTTTTGTTTTTGTTTTTTTCGTAGCTGCAACGTTGTTTGTTTGTTTGTTTGGGGTTTTTTGGATCCCGTGAGTTAGTCAGACCCAGCTTCAGTTCAGAGTCCTCAGGCCCAGACAGGGATGCAGGGCCCCTCCCCACCTGGCCACCTGGGCACAGAGCCTGGCGACCCCGAAAAGAGTCACCAAGATCTCCTGAACCATGCCGCTGCTCCCAGGGCAGGATGCTGGGCAATCGCTCTCCGCTGCATCCTTTGCCCCAGGCCATAGGTCTTGCCCTTCCCTTGCCCTTCCCCTCTGGGCTGAGGTCTGCCCTCCCCGAGTCCTAACCTCCACCTGGGGATGGGGAGAGCAGAGGAATCCCCTGTTTTCCATGAGCTAAAGCAGAGTCTTCGAGTGGCAGCGACTCTCCCATGGCCACACAGAAGCAAAGGGTAGGGTAGTCCCTGACCCAGAATCACCCGGCACATGGCTTCGTGGGGCTCCCTCCCACAGGGGCCTTGAGGGTCGGTCAGGAGTGGCAGTGAACACCCCCAGCTTCCACCAGGAGCCATGCCAGCAGAGGGTCATGGTTTTTCCAAGTGCCAATTCCACGTCTCCCAGGGGAGGGTCCCCTGTGGCAGCAGAGGTGAAGGCAGCGTGGGCCTCGGGCTGCCCTCAGTCTGACTACCCCGCCACAGGGTGGGAGGGCCCCGCCAGGCGGGTGGCTGGCCTGTCATCGCCTGGTCTGCCTGTGCCTCTCCACCTCCACCCCGAGGTCCCCCACACGGCCGCCTGCCCCCGGGATCTCCTGGCCTGGAAGGAGAATGCAGGCTGCTATGGACAGGCAAACACGGCCGCTGTTTGTCCAGGGATCGGGGCGCCAGCTTGGAGGGAACTCACAGACCGCACATTCTGCCGCGTCCCAGCACTTTTCCAAAACAGCCTGGTCTTGGCTGGGC